GTCTTAATAAAACACTGTTATTTTATTAAACACATTTTGGTTACAAAGATTCATTGGAGAATCTTTGACGTACCTTGGAATATTTGTGAGAGATTATCTTTAGGACGACGGACTGTTCTATATAATCTCTAATTCCTTCTAAAAACTACCACTCGAATACGGATCAAACGGATTTTAATCACAATAGCATTTGTAGGAAAACTGATAAATTCACAAATAAAAAATAATTTTTATATGTTTTGTATCCTATAAGTATTGAACTAGAGACATGTATTTGAAGACCAGAAAGCAATATCCACTGTGCTATTGACTTACTGATTCTTTATTATTTTATTATTTTAATTATTAAATTAATATATTAATTAAAAAAATTTTTTTTAATAAGAAATATTGTTTTTTAAAAAATAAATATATTATAATAAATACAAAATAATAATATTTAATTAAATAAAATAAAAGAAGTATAGGTACTAAAAAACTCTTTCCGCTGATCCCCTTGCCAACTCAAAAACAGATGTTCTTAAAGATATTTCTTTATTTTTGATAATAAAGTCTATATACTTTTTTTAAAAACATTACTCTCTAAAGGCTAGTGCCTCCTTCACTTGTTTGCTCTTCCTTTTTCAAAAAACTTTGGATATTTCAATAATAAAATAAACAAAACTTTATCCATTTGATTTATAGCAAGAATATCTTACTGGAAAGAAGAAACTTGTAGAAAAATACCCTCCACTACTCTTTCTTTAGATCAGGAATTTCAAAAAGTAAACCACTAGCGAATACATTTCCCAAGATTAAGGATCCTAACGATTCTGTGTTCGATTCTATTCGATTCCAGCTCTTATAATAAATTTAATAGGTGGGTTATAACCCACTTATGTTTTTTATATGTATGCGAGTCCATGCGAGTCTATGCGATTCCAATTTTCGGGACCATACCCAAGATCCATAAGAACCTTAAATTCATTGTAAACGAACACCTTTTGTCTAGGGCGGATGAATAAGCTAGTTGGGTCGACCAGTGAATGTATCTCCAAATAATATGTGAACCTTGGATCTACTGTAAGTAAACTCCTTTGGTTCAGGCAGGTGGATAAGCTAAAAAAACCCAGGTGTATGAACCCTTTTTACCATTCATACATGTCTGGTAGTTGATATTTTTGAGTGTATTCAATTTTTTTTGGTTTTTCTGGGGAATTTTGTTTATTTTAATTTGACCTTGAATTTTTTGTTACACTGAAATCTCTGGATAGTGATTGGCTGAAATCTTGGATTGGTTGATCAACAAGTAAAAGAAATATAAACAAGACTCATATCTACACGTGCCCCATGTCGTATCACATTATAACCGATGATGTAATTGGATAAAGCGAAAGAGCAAGATGTCAAGATGTTCTCTTATTAAGAAGTATTTGAAAGTCTTTCTCCTCCCCTCTTGTGCTGGTTTCTTTTCTTCTTAAGGTTAAAGAAGGCTCTTATTAGGCTAGTGATTGGTTTTGATGAGGTTTTTATTTTATCAATACAAACTTTTTTTCTTTCCCTTTTATCCTTCCCTTTTATCTTCTTAAAAAAAATAAAAATTTTTATACCTTAGGATCACAAAGGTTAAGTTGGAGTGAATAGTCTTAATAAAGGGCTGGCGATGATATTGAAATTTACAAGGAACATAGGTCAATATAGAATAACTTTTTTCATTTTTCTTAATTATATTTAGAGGCCAATGGCTATTGACGGGTATGTCATATAAAGTAGTAAAAGTTTATCCTATAATATAGATCTGTCAGACATTTGATATGTTTATCCATTTGTATCTGGAGTTAATTTGAACCCACATGTTTGAATGTAAATAAAAACTTGAATATATGGCCTGATTAGGTGTAAAAAAAAAAAAAATTAAATAAAATAAAAGATATAATAAAAATATTTAATAAAAAAAACTCTTTCTACTGATCCCCTTACCAATTTAGATATTCTTAAAAATTTTTTTTTATTTTGATAATAAAGTTTATATATTTTTCTTAAAATCTTATTTTCTGAAAACTGATGCCTCTTCTACTTATCTATTTTTCTTTTTCTAAAAAATTTATATATTTTAATAACAAAATAAACAAAATTTTATTCATTTGATTTATAGCAAGAACATCTTATTGAAAAGAAGAAACTTGTTAAAAAAATATCTTTTATTATATTTTTTTTAGGTTTGAAACTTCAGAAAGTAAACCATTAGTAAATATATTTTTCAAGTTTTATAAGAACCTTGAGTCTATTATAAGTAAACAACTTTTGGTTTGAAGCAGATGAATAAACTAATTGATCTATCAAATTAATATATTTCCCAAGCTTTATAAAAATCTTGGGTTCACTATAAGTTAAAACTTATATGATCCAGGTAGATGAATAAGCTAACAGAAACCTATTTATTTAAGTATATAATCTTTCTTTACCAATCATATATACAGTATTTGTAGTAGTACTTTCAAACATATCAAATTTTTTGATTTTTTTGAAAAAATTTTGCTTGCTTCAATTTGATCTTAAATTTTTGTTACACTAGAATCTCTGATTAGTAATTGGCTGAAATCTTGAACTAATTAATTAATATGTAAAAGAAAAGTAAACAAGATATATACTTTTATATGTTTTATGTTATGTTATATTATAATTAATAATGCAATTGAATAATGGTAAAAGAGCAAAGTGTCAAGATGTTCTCTTAATAAGAAATAGCTTGAAGTTTTCCATTCTCTTTTGTGCCAATTTCTTTTCTTCTCAAGATTAAAGAAAATTTTTATTAAACTAATAATTGGTTTAGATAAGTTTTTATTTATTAGTATAAACTTTTTTTTTTTTTTTTAAGATGAATAGATACTTAATGCCATGATTTTTATTGAATTTGTATTTGAATTATATATTGTAATCTTATATATGTTAATATTACTACTAACTGTAAGTAGTATAAACTTTTTTTATTTTTTTTATTTTTTCTTTACTTTTTCTTTACTTTTTAAAAAAATAAAATTTTTTTTTATTTTTTAGAACAACAAGGATATATTAGAGTAACAGTTTGAATATAGGCTAGCTTAGATTTTTTAAAGCTAAAATTTTAATATCTAATTTTGGAAAGAAGAAACTTTATCATTTTTTACAATCATATCTAGAGAATTAGGATTTGAAAAATCTAAGATAGTTAGTATTATGCAATAATAGTTTAATGAATCTACTCTCTTATAATAAAATAGTTAGTGAATAATTAAATTATATGAACAATATGGTGTCTTGATATTAAGAATTCAAAGATTATATATAAATCTATAAATTATTGACAGGTGTTTTGCTATGAAAGAATTGTTTAGCTTTAGTATAGTATCATATTGTATATTGTATTATTGTTGTTCAAAATTGAATTAATAAATTTATTATTAACAATTTGATTAAAGAAAAATAATAATAATAATAATATTTAATAATTATATAATTATTAAATTGCATTAAATAAATTTAAACTTTTAATTTACTATATATATTTTAAATTTTAACATTTTAATATACGTATTAACAAAAATATATTTGCAATATTTATAACAATAAACTATATAATAAAAATTATTATATAGGTTTAAAGAATAATTAAAAAGCAATATATATATTATATATATCTGTTATTGGATATAAATCATTTATTTTAAAATAAATATTTTTTTAGTTGTATTATAAAAATTGTAAAACATAAATACATGTATACTCAATATTGTCTTGTTAATAAAGCAAGCATTCAAAGAAAATTATTTTATATATATTATATTAATATGAAGTATTTCAATCTGTATTACAAAGAAACTGCATATGATAAGTGTTATTGGAAAATCTGTGTTAATAATTTTCGTTATACGTGTATATACGCACAAAGTTTAAGGATAATTGTACCATAATAAACGAAGGCTTACAACGATATCGTATGCTTTTATTTTAGTTTAAAGTTCTAATAATGGTAAGAAACTCTACCGATAACATCACGAGTCCAAGTACAGATGCAAAAAAAAAAAAAGTCACTGGCAGTCAATCTACGATCAATGCCGCGAAAGACATTGTCAACCTACCAGCAACATCGACGTTAACAATAACGGCACCACCATTATCACCATTACATCGTCTTAGTGAGGAACAAAAAGATGAAATAAGAGAAGCCTTTGATTTATTCGATATGGATAAAGATGGGGCTTTAGATTTTCATGAATTCAAGGTTATTATTATTATTATTATTACTATCATCGAGGATTCAACATGACTTGCCAGTAATGTGTTTATTATTCAAGGTGGCTATGCGCGCTTTAGGATTTGACGAAAAAAAAACGGAGGTACTTAAAATCATACGTCAATATGATAAGAATGATAACGGAAAAATTGTGTTTGAAGATTTTAATAAAGTCAGTAAGTATAGTTTTTTAACCTCGGTAGCACGGGTTTGTGTAATGTCGATCATTCAACCGAGACTTTGATTTAGTGTCTGAGCGAATATTAAACCGATCACCTGAGGAAGAAATTCACAGAGCATTCCAACTTTTTGATGACGACAACACAGGAAAGATATCACTATTTAATTTAAAACGAGTAGCCGAAGAGTTGGGAGAAAATTTAGACGAAGAGGATCTTCAAGCAATGATTGACGAATTTGATTTAGACGAAGATGGAGAGAGTATCCTTTTGAATTTTAAAAAGACAAACTCATTGCATACTGTATATTAATTTCCTTGACTGTTACAATACCAACTTTTACGCATACTCGTTTTCTCTTGTAGTAAATGAACAAGAATTCATGAAAATTATGTCAGATGACATTTAACATATAATAATGCAAAACGGACAAATATCTTTTCTGCTGAAATTGTTAAACCGAAAATGAAATTAGAAATGAATAATACATTATAATATACTGGTACCGTCGATGAACGCAAGTTTTAAGAGTGTAAATACCTCAAAATATAAAGTTAGTCTTGCTTTTGGTTAGGTTGGCGGTAATGGGAAGAATGATAGGCTCTATAAAATTGTTCTGGTTGTGACTGTGTGTCAGTGGTGTCAGCGGTGTCAGCGCTGTCATCCGCTGAATTTGATTCTTCGTTAATTGTCGTTTCTTGTTCTTCTTGACTTTTTCTTCTCGCTTGGAGTCTTTCGCGGGCAGCTACACGCCTTTCTTTGTCCTCATCAATTTTTTCCAACACGGCTTTTCTCCTTAATTCCTCCGCAGCTTTTTCTTTGGCCTGCATCTTGGAAGCCAGTTCCGCACGATCCTTAACTTTTTTCAAGAAATCTTGGAGTATTTCTTGAGCAACTTTCAATTTTTCCATCTCAGGAGAATCGGGATTATCAGTGAGTGGATGTTCTAGGACGTAGAATTTTTCAAAATCTATTACTTTTGCCCTGAATCCAATTTTCACAAGAAATTCCACGCCACCTTGGGCCCCACATATGTTTGATTGAAATGTTTTGGATTTTTCTTTTAATCTTCTTTTTCTCTCGTCATTAGGGCTGTCAATTATATTATTTACTACTCTCGACAGAGTTTCGATGCATTTGTGTGCAGTTTCAACATCATTATTACGAGATATTTGTTTGATAATAATATCTTCATAAAGTTTTTTTCGGAAATCTTCCATCATAAGAATTGAAAAAATGATATTTTACCCATTTTTTGCCAATAAGTTCGGAAAAACACCTAACTGGTGTTTAATAAATCAAACTTTTTTTTTGCACGTGTTAGATTCATGTGATGACAATTGATCACAAGAAATTTCAAAATGTCTCTGCCTCCTCACAAAAAAGATGACTACTATAACCTTGAAAAGCGTCTTGCAGAATTAAAAAAACCGGATGAAAATCGTGACCAAGATACTTTGTTAGTTTTTACTTACCTTTCTGCTTTTCATCATAACCAATATTACCAAAAGAAGAATAATAAAATAACGAATGCACTCTTTTTAAAAGGGAAGATCTAGTTGAAAGATTCTCAAAAGTTTTCGATCGTCGACCTGTAATATCACTGAATGTTGAAAATAAAGGAGGGGCACAAAAGAGATCTTATGAATTACCGAAGGAAAAAGAGTTAGACGAAGAAGAGGTATCTCTAATAGTATAGTAACAAACCACCATTTATTATTATTATTATTTTTTATTTATATTGAACCATATATACTTCTATTTTTTTTATTTTTTTATCCAGATAGAAAATTTTTTGTTGTCCGAAGGAAACTTACTGGATGAAAATGATGATTCTTTATTTTCAAACGAACAACAGCAAATCCTGGATTCCTTGGTCACGAAGTTTGTGGGGGATGATCTAAATACATCCTCGAATTTCGAAAATGAAGGCGAGGAATCTTATCTGATACGTCAGATCCGGGAGGAAGTTCTTCTCGAAGAAAATTATGATTTAAACGAAAAATCAATGGATTATAGTGAGTTAAAGGAAAGGTTTAGATTGTTAAAAGCCAATTCAGAAACAGACGATGTGGGAATTTCTAGTAACCGATTGGGTTCACCACCGAAGGCAATTGGTTTTGAGGATTTTGAAGATGATCCTGATACTTGGTGTTGTAAGTGTTATGTCAGATTATCACAAAAGTCTTGATTGTAATTATTCTTGTATCTATTACAGGCATTTGTAATGAAGATGCAACTATCAAATGTAGAGGTTGTCATGGAGATTTGTATTGTGATGAATGTTTCCAAGAAGGTAATGATTTTATATTGCGATTGTATCGTCGTTGTTTAATATTTTTATCGAAAACAACGTCAATTCTACACATAGGGCATTCCGGCGAGAGTTCAGATAGTGAGTTAAGAAGACACAAATACGAAGAATACAGGGCCTATAATAAATTATCTAATTAATTAGGATGACGATTATTTAATTAATGAACCCAAACATAAACTCTCATCAAATATTTAATATGTAAATTACCGGCATTATTTTAACGAACTTTTCGGAACACTTGGCAGCTGCTTTAACATCTCCTGTGCTTCTTTTTCTTGTCGTTTCTTTTTCAAATTGGATTCGCGCAGATAAAAAAAATCTCGATGCAAAGTGTATTGTTTCGGCTTGATGGATAATGACGGAGGTTTTACTTCTTTACCTCCCTTCTCTTCACATTTTTCCTCCTTACTATCTTCAAATTTTTGTTCGTCTTTCCCTTCTTTTTTTTTTTCATTTTCCTTCTCTTTTTCTCCTTTTGAAGTTGGCTCCGTTATTTTAACTGGTTCTGGTTCAACTAGCGGCACCGGTGAAGCGAAACCACGGTCATTCAAATGACTTATAATATGATAAAGAACGTCTTTTATTTATATCCGACTATAAAATCCACATTAAACTTTCTAGAATAAGAATTTTAGAGAAAACTAACCTGACACAAGTATAGAACCAATCCAAGCCATTGCCAGTTGTGAGAACTGCCGACGTGAATTTACCACAGACAAAACACGGACGTTCTGAAGTAGCGGTACGATGTGTGTAAAGATTTTGGAGCGTTTGTGAGGTCGAATTCTTTTTTATAGAAGTAGACATTTTATTGATGTTTAACCAAAATGTAATTTAAAGATGAATTGGATTTGAGAGTTCTCTTATAAATATGTTTCTTTCAAAGTTTAGATGATTGACATTATTGTACATTATTATTTAAAAATACATTATACAATATACAGTAATTTTTATTTAGTTCAAATATACAGTATATACTGTATATATTTAGTAATACTTTTTAATTATAATAAATTTAATTTAATTCCTTTTTCTTTTTACTTTTAATCAAATTGCTAGAAATGTGTTTATTAAAACAAAATATTAAAAAACTTTAGTTTTGAAATATCAAACCAGCTTATATTTAAACTGTTATTTTAAAAAGTAAAAAATTTTAATTTTTTATAAAATAATATAAAAAAAAAAAAGTTATATTAATAAATAAAAATTCTTTTAAGTTTTAATTTAATTTTTTATATTTTATTATTAATTAAGTATATTTAAATGATTTTATATAAAAAAGTTTATCCATTACTATATAAACTTATTATTTAAATATTTACTTGAAATAATTAATAACAATAAAGTTTTTTATTAAATAAATATATAAAAAAAAAAGTATTAAGTTATTTTTTAACAAAATATATATTTCAATATTTTGTTGTTTATTATAATTAATAATAAATATTATTAAACTTTTTATTATTTAAGATATAATATAAAAATATATATTTTATTTATATTTCTTATTATGTATTATCAATTATACTAATCAAAAATAATTTATTTAATATAATATTCACTTGTCAATTATTTAATAAAAAATAAATTGTTTAGAAAAATCAATTACATTTATATAATATAAACTTTAATTATAAATTAATATATAAATTTTATAAATAATTCAATAAATAATTTATTTATATTTTATGAAAAATTTATTTTATCTAATAAATTAATAATTTTATTATTTTTATTAAATTTTCTTATATATATTTTTTTGTCAAATTTTTTTATAATATTTATTTATTTTTAAGGCTTTTAATAATATTACTTTAATACCTGTTTGATATTAATTCAATATTTAAATTTATTATAGATTAATATTATTTTAATATTACTTTGATATTATTTCAATACTTTTTAATATCCTATTTATTTTTAAATTTTGATATATAATATATTTATTTATTTTTCTATAATTAAATAAGTACATATATTAGATTTGTAGATCTATAGTATAATATAATGATTAGTGTTTTACAGATTAAATTATAAGATATTAGTTTAATTCCATATAAAGATAATTAAATAGAATTAATATAATATTTGATATTATAATAAATATTCAATTTTTATATAAAAACAATAGAATACTACTAACTATTTACCTAAATTATTTATTATATTATATTTTTTTACTTATATAGCTAATATAGTAAAGAAATCTTAATATGACATATATATTTTCTAGTAAATGTTTTAGTTTTTGATTGCTAATTGATTTTAAGCTATCAAATCTAAGGACTTTTATAATCAAGTGAAATATAACTTCTTAAGGAATATATGAGCCATATCTAAACAAGCTCCTAGGCTCTTTAATTTTTTAGTAGACACTTTAGTTTCAGAACCAATTGGCTTAAACTATTAAATCTAAAGGTATAAATACCAAGCAAAATACAATTCCTACATATATAAACCATCAAGTAACCATATTACACAAGATATTAATATCAGTTTAATATTTTTTTTCAAAGTTTTTTTATTCAATAATCAATAGGAGAGAGAAATTAATAGTTTGAAATTGGTTAAAATAAAATATAGTCCAATTTGTACATTTAAATATATAAATGATTCTATAAACTTCTTTTATTAAACAATCATTGTAATTAAAGATAGGTCTCTAAATTATTTGTAAGGACATAATTCAAATGTCCTTTATTATTAAAAATTTTCATTTCTATATTAAGAAATAAAAAA